GCTTGTATAAAGTCCTCCCCTGGGGCGCTTTTCCATGAAGTTTTTCAGTCAAGATGCAGACCGGCTGGTTCTGAAGGTGTTGGTGGTTAATGACTTTTGTGCAGCTGTGGTAAAGGGCTTTCTGGTCCATATGTGATAAAACCATTCTCTGTAGGTCCAGGCTGGAGAGCAGAGGATCCAGGATCAGGCCAGGAAGGTCCGTACGTGAAGGAGGCTCCTCTCCTTGGCCAATATTTTTTCCCTTTGAAGGTCCAGGAAGCACCGCACAAGCCTGGCACACTGTACCCTTGTTGCAGAATCAGTCATCTCGGAACGGTGCAGCGCCTCCGACACCCCTGGTCCCGCGACGCTGCGTACGTCGAGCCTCGACCCACAGATTAAGGGCTCCTGTAACAGCCAGTGCAGAGAGTTAGTTGGGACGGTGATATATATGGGTTTTATATTTTATGTTCTTTGACAATCATACAAGTTTTGTATCACAAATGAAGCACTCTTATAGGCACTCTCATTATCTAAGTTTCTGTTTCCTTGAGAGCATGATACAATTTGTTTTTGTACTCACAAGCTCTCGGTGCCATGCTCTGAGAATGATGTAATTTGTTTTTGGTTTCGGCTGTCCACAAGCCCTGGGTGGGTTCGGGGGGTGCCCGTTCAATATTTTGGTTTCTGTAATCATGCGCTCCAGGTGTGAGAGGGAGCGATCACTTTTCCTGATTGGGTGCAAGATTTTCCTTTGCAGTTGGGCATAAATGACGGATGGCGGTTGGCACTGGCAGGGTCTGCTGGGGTTGCGTACAGACGCCTAGCTGAACGGGTTGCTGGCCTGCTGGGATCGACCGGCCCTCCAATCCTTGTGTCACGGTAGGGGGACAATATAAATTGTATTGAGACAATATAATTTGTATTCAGCACCGTGCCTTGATTGATGTGCTTGCTTTGCTGTTTTCTGTGGTAGAATAAAACGACACATTTTAATTCTAGCAGAAACAGTTTGAGTGTTCTGTGTGTGTCATCTTTATTGCGGACTCATCCTGATACTGCCTAAATTTCATAATACAGATGGTCTTAGTTTAAACAGGGTGAGCAATTTAAAAACACACTGATAAAACTTAGGCAATCCCCTTTATTTTCAAAGATTTAAATCAGTTAAAAACAAAGCAGTATCCAGCTCCAGATTGCTCTTGTGTCTAAAAATACAGCTGGCCACATCCCTCCAAACTAAGAAATACTCAGGTATTTCTGAACAAAGCTTAACCTAAAAGCTGCCGTTCTTCCGGCTAGGTGGACAAAACCCTGGCCCCCCTCTTCTCTGGGTGAAAACAACACAGACTGTGGCACCCAATTAAGCCTGTTCCAAAAAAATGTGTCCATCTTGGCTTGTAGGCTGGCCAACAAACCGGACGGTGGGTCTAAGCAGGAAAGTTTGTGCCACAGCTGCGATGTGATAAGGTTATTTAAAACCAACACCCTTGCTCTGTAAGACACGTGGGAGTGTAGCCATCTCCACTTTGCCAGTTTTCTTTGTATTTTCTGTTCCATGTCTTCCAAATTCTTTTTTCAGTGTTCTCATCCCCTAAAAACAAACCAAGATATTTAAAAACATCTTTTTTCCAAAAAAGCCCTTGAGGGAGAACTGGGAGCCCTGCGCATCATTTGCCCACAGCTAAGGCTTCACTTTTGGCCCAGTTCACCCTCGTGGCAGATAAAACAGAGTATTTGTGGGTTATCTCAGTCAGTCTGTAGACATCATGCTGGTTTCTGATAAAAACAATGACATCGTCAGCATAGACGGATAAAACAAATTTTTTTTATTAAAACCGGATAAAACCAAACCGTGAACTCTGGAACGTATCTTTAGAAGCAGGGGTTCCAGGGAGAGCTTGTAGAGCATCCCGGACACAGCGCAGCCTTGCCGAACACCTTTATGCACCCTGAGAGGAGCACACAGGTCACCGTTAATCTTCAGCACACTCTCTATGTCGCTGTTCATCACCTTGATCTTGGTGATCAGACCCGGGCCGAACCCAAACCTCTCCATTGTTCTCCAGAGGAAGCTGTTTGATGCAGTCAAATGACTTTTCTTGATCTAGTGCGATCAAGCCAGTTCCAAAACCCAATGAACCAGAGACCTCCAAAACATCCTGAATTAGGTAGATGTTATTTGCCATGGACCTGCTGGGGACGCAGTAAGTCTTGTCCCGGTGGACGACCTGCTCCATAGTTTCTCTCAGCTGAGTTGCCAAGGCTTTGGCGAGAATCTTGTAGTCGGTGCAGAGGAGAGACACAGGGTGCCAGTTCTTGATGTCCTGCAGGTTTCCCTTTTTTCGAGAGAAGGGTGACGACTGCCCTGCGGCACAAAAGTGGGAGTGAACCAGTGGCCAGACTTTCGTAATGGACATCCAGCATCAATGCAATAGGATGTCCCAATAAGAGTTGTAGAATTCGACGGTGAGCCCGTCGATCCCAGGGGCCTTCTGGCCCTGCATGCTCGGGAGGGCTGTGTGGAGCTTTTGTGGCCCTAGGGGGTGCGCCAGCTTTAGGTTGGCTTCACCCAACAACTGGGGCAGCCCACTGCAGAACTCCCTGCAGCTCTTGATGTCTGTGACCTCACTCTCAAACAGAGAGGAGTAAAATTCCACAGCTCTCCTCCTGACCTGGCTTGGTTTACTCAGCTGCTGCCCTGTGTCAGATAATAGAGTGAATCACCTTCCTCTGCCTGTGTTTCCTCTCCAAGCCGAAAAAGAAGCTAGAGGGAGCGTCCATCTCTGTGATCTTCTGAACCCGAGACCTGACAAACACGCTTTGGACTTTAGGCTCTATCAGGTTGGCTAAACTAGCCGTTTAGACTTGAGAGCTTTAATAGCTCTCGATTTCCTGTGGACTCACGTAGATGTTCTAGTTTTACTATATTTATCTCCTGATCTCCGATAGATCTGGTGAAATCACATGTGACATTGAGAGTGTGCTGCTGACTGACTAGTTTTTATTTTAACTTTGCCATGGTCCCACCACTCCCTTAAACAAGTAAAATCCATCTTTCTTTGTCTAAAAACAGCCCAAAATCAGCTAAAAGCTCCTCTAAAACTGTAATTGTGGGTTAAAGCCAGATTAAAATGCCATTAGGTGGTTTCTTTGGTAAATTTTTTCTCATAAAAACACTATGTAAAAGCAACAAGTGGTTTGTAAAAGCTACTGGTAACATCTGGCATGTTTAAACAAATTAAAATGGTGTTTAAAACAAAAAACAACCAATCAAGCTAAAGGGATGCAGTTTTCTTTAAGATAAGACCACGTGTGTACCGTCTGGCACCCATGTGCATCCTTCACCACATGTCCACCAGGCCGTGGGACGAGACCAGCAAAATCGGCTTCTAAAAAAAACATAATCCCCAGACCCCCAAATTCCTAACCTTTACCCAATTTTCTCTAAAAAACTATTTATCTCTGCACTGTAATTAGGAGCATAAATGTTGATGAAACCATGATAAAATTGTGACACTGCTTCAACGAAAACACACCTCCCCTGGAGGATATTTTCTACTTTAAAAGAGTTCGGGATGAAAGCCTTGGAAAAGAGGAGGCCCACCCAGAACTCTGGGAGGTGCCCTGACTGAAAAAAAAACAAACTTATCCTTTCAACTCTCTGCGCCAGTCTGCTTCATTATTAAAATCACTGTGAGTTTCTTTTAAAAATAACACGTCGTTTCTTTTCTGTTGTGCTATTTTATGAATCAAGGTTGCATGTCTTAGCCTCCCTAACTCCATTAAGATTTAAAGAAGCTAATTTAAAAGGATCCATATTGGATAAAAAGCTAAAAACAACACCACAATAAACCACACAATAAAAATAAATAAATGGTGCACATCATCTTAATCAAAGGTTTTCCTAACTTTTTCCATGATTTATCTCAGTCTATACACATCTTGATCTGAAAATCCAGACTCTTCCTTTTTCCTGATATATCTTGCAGAAAAGTAAAAAAAAAATCTTTTCATTTGTAAAAACCTTTTCCAATTTAACTCCACTCAAACCCTTTGTCTCATCAAGAAACTTTATAAAAGACTCAACTGGATAGTGTGGCTCTCTGCAGCTGGACTGTGTCAGAGATACAGTTTGTTTTTTTTCTTATCATTTTGGAGCCTCCAGCTCCATCAACTGCTCCCCCTTGGCTTTTCTCCTCCACAGAACCAGGCTTCTGCACCTTTACATCCCCTCATCCACCTGCACCTCACCTTTCCCTCCCTGATCCTCAAACCAACAGCCCACCTCCTTCTGAGCCTCCTGCTCTCCACCACCATCTTGCTCCATCTCACCCTGATTCCTCCTCTCTTTACCACTCTCCTCACCAGACACCGGCATGCTACCATAACTCACCAAACAACCATCACTCTTTGGATGGTTTTATCCACACCCGCACTCTCCCCTCTGTCTCCAGTGCCGTGGCATCAAGAATTTTTTTATTTTTTACTTTTTTAACAAAACATTTATTGAACAATAATTGAAAAATAAAAAACTGTTAAAAACTCAGGTCAAAAATATATTAATATATTAGCAGCTTGTTATATTTTAGCTCTCCCTCAGTAGAAAATGTGCACAAAACACTATTAAAACCCCACAGTTGTAAACAATCCTTCAATTCCTCAGTGGCTGTAACACTTCCACAGAGCCACCGCATCAAGCTGAGGTCCTGCCTGCAGTTTGTCCCTTTGAGTCAAATAAATAGCCAGAAGAAGAAGAAGAGGAAGAAGAAGGACATTTTTGTTTTTCAAGATAAAAACCTTCCAGCGCTTCTCTTGAGTTCTCGTAAAGTTAGCTCGTCTGTGATGACTCAGCTCAGCTTCAGCGAATATATATATAGACTACACAAACAAATTTTGAAATCAAAACAGTCTTTCTGTCTAAATATCATGCCATTTTACAAATTAAAATTAAAGCGGAAGCGGCCAAAACAAAACCGGAAGTGATGCGCAGCTGAGCATCTTGCTTCATCCGGCTGCTTCCGGTGGTAGCTCCTGCTGTCTTCCTGTCTCGGTGAAGCTGACAGCCGCCGTGGTGAAGGACTACAGACCGTTCGGGGGTTGGAGTCATGTCGGCAGCTGCTCAGGGGACAAGCAAAGCGGCCCACAGCGATGTGGCCCCGAAAAAGAAGAAAGGACCGGGCGCCCTGGCAACGGCCTACTTGGTTATTTACAATGTTGTTATGACAGCCGGGTAGGTAGCGTGCTTCCTCGTGCTAATGCTGTGGTAGAGCGCGTGTTTGTGCTACTCAGCAAATCAGAACTGCACCTAAGAGAAAATGTAATTGTTTACATGTTTCTCTTGTCGGTAAATATTTTATTGCACAAACCGTGAGACATTTTATACATTTAGTTTGAAAATTCTGCCTGTTTTTCTGTTAATCAGACAGACAAGCAAGCAGTGACCCCCTGCTGTTTTCCAGATTATAATAATAAAACAGATGGATCATTGTTTGCACACAGTGTGCATTTATGCCCCACACTGGGCCTGTTGGTTCAGATGCACATTTATTTATATAGGGGACAATTACAATTATACACAGCAAATAAAATACACAGCAAATATAATAATAACAGTGGTAATGCTAATTTAAATAAATTTTATTTTTAATATATTTATTTCAATTATTTTAATTCATTAATAAAGGCTGGCATCTCTTAAAATAAAATTGAAATATACAAACAAGGCAAAAATTTAGATGATTGTTCACAATAACTGTGATGTGACCCCTGAGGTATATGGAGGGGCAAAATAATATATGAAATACATATGTGTGAATGTACCATTAAGTATTTATCTTTAACATTTAAGAGTTTTATTTGCATTGATTCAAATATTGCACAAAATACAATAACAAATAAAAGCTCCATTAAACAAGAAAATACATTTAAAATTTTAAAGTTTGGGAACCTGTGATAAGGATAGTATGATTTATTACATATCCATATTGTTCTTTAATTGTTTATATAAAAGCTAGTTATGTTTTGTTTGCTTTTTTTTATTTCTCAAAATTTGAATTGGTCTTTAATTTTCCCCTTTTAGAAAGGTTAGGATTACTAAAACTAATACTAAATATCTCGCTGTCACCCACCTGACCCGTTTCTTTGCAGATATTTATCAAAGTTCATACAAATGTTATCCCTTAAATAAAAATTACATATATATGCTTTGAGTCCTACAGGAATGGAAAGTATATTTGGTGTAGAATGGTTTGCAGTCCTTGATGAGGCCACAACAGCCGACCAATCAGAAACCTGCCTGTTTGAAAGGCAAACCTCTAGCTGCTTTTTTTTAGAGTTCAAGCTGATTGTAATCAGCAGTCAGTAGTATGAAGCAGCAGCCTAAAGTTTTGATACTGGGTTGTTAGTAGTGTTGATTCCTTCTTAAATAATCTGATGACAGTTATTTCATAACGTCAGACGATAAATGGCAGCTAATAAATGCCTCCACGTGTCTTTTTATTGCTCTGATTTTTAAACTGTTGCATAATGATGTGCTGGGCGTCTCTCTGTACCAACCAGTTCAGTCACATTTATTCCACTTTCTACTGAGGCACTGGTTTGCATGGCCTGTTTTGTAGTGAGGGGGGGCTTTCTTAAATGTTGCTGTGGCCAAACTTTCAGTTTAAAAGAGTAATTGATGCTCTCTTTTTTTTCTTTTTTTTCCACCAATAAACTGCTTTCCAGTGTAAGATACTATTCCTACTAGTCTGTATCTTTAGGAATATACATATATATATATTTCAATACAAAAAAAAAATTAAAGGAAATTAACAGTTTTCCAAAGCAATTTTTACCTGTGTTTAAGTAAATATGATGTTTAGGGATTCATTGATTTGGTAGGGACAATAGACAGTAATTGACAATATGTAAATGAACCATAATTAGCCAAAAGGATGTTTTTCATCTGTAATCCATGGACAAAGGGCAATTTGTCTAAAACCAACAAAAGTTATACAATCAAGGTTAAAATTACTTAACTCCAGAAATTTTTCTATCAAGGGGGAAAGAAATACAGTCGATGTAAAGACTAATTGAAATCTACATGCACATTTGATCAAATTTATAAGACTTGATTAAAACCAACTTAATTGTTCATAATGATGGCTGAAGAAACGCAGTTGGTCTCAGGATTGGATAAGGAAGGTTCTTGCTGTACAGAATGTTGACAGATGTGGAGTGTTATGAGACCATTCAGAACAATACGATCTTCCCAGATTGCCACTGTTGTTCGATGAGAAGTGCTGTTTCTTTTATCTACAAACAAAGACAAGCTGCTTTACATCAGTGCCACAGGGCCCTCTTAGCTGGAAAAATATAAAACTGGCATCCAATGTGACAATAATTGATACTTAAAGACAACAGAACATAAGATATTACATCAGACCTGTCAATTTTAATATTGCAGGGTTGATTGTGAATTAACTTGGAGTTAGCTCTTCTTTTAAACTGACCAATCGAATGCTATTTGTACAGCAAAAATACACATATATACAAAATATGTCATACAATCATCCTGATAGTGTTTGCTTAGTCCTGTTTGAGCATGAAAACAGTTTTTGCACTAAGCACAATCAGCACACAAACGTTGTAGGCCAACGCTAGCTACAAAAAATTAGTTTAAAGAACAGAAATTATGTATAATAACCAAAGATCTCACCTTAGCTTAAACGGAAAGACTTTGTAGGGAATCAGAGTGAGCTACTAGAATGACCAGAGTTTCTGTTTCTATGTCCGTTGTAGCTATGTGCTGATTATTTTATCATAACCTAAAACTTCTAGTGTTACACTATTGTTTCGTTGTTAATTATTGTGTTAATTGATGATTGATGCACGTGTAATCCTGTCTTTGCAATTTGGGTTGCAATTGATCATTAATGTCTATTGATTAATCTTTTTTATTAATAATTGATCAGCAAAGGCTTATTCATTGATTTATTACAAAGCATTTTTAAGGTGAAGCTGAAAATATTCTGAAATGAGCTTATTTACAAATTTATTATATGGTTTTGGCCTAATATTTGCTCTTAGAGCCTCTGTTGTTACCATGGTAAATACCACACATTTGTATGCCAAATATTTAAGTCATCCAAATGTAATACTTGAGAAATTTCTATGGCAGGACTTTTAAGGTACAAACTGAAGTCAGACCACACATGCATAAAGAAAAGTGTCTACAGATGCCTCTGCAGCTTTAGGAGGAGCCGCTCTGTTCTTTTACTGCTTTCTAATTAACAATGACTTTATTTGCTCTGAAGAATTTTGGTGAAAAAAAGTGAGTTTTTTTCTTCTATTTTCCACCAAATTATTATTGTTTCGCTTTTATTATTTTTTTTCTCACTTAAGTTTCATAATGATGACAAATGGCATATATTGTTAAAAAACTAGTTTTGATTTCTATCATCCTCTTTGGGAGGTGAGCCTAATTTAAAAGGCAGTGAAATTTAAGCTGTGAAATCTTCTTGTAAAAACAAAACAAAAAACCCGCAAAACTATTAAAATATAACATACTAACAGCTTTCATTTAGTGGTTTCACAGAATGAGCTAATTTAGCAGGTATGAGGAGACCTCTAAGAACAAAAAGTCATGAACTGAGTCATTCTGAGCTATGGAGGTCCAAGTTTTAAAAAATTAAATCTTCATTTAAAAAAAGGTTTAATCAATAAAAGTGATCACCCAGCTATAGATTAAGTTCTTTATTTTTTTAGGGATGTGGTTAAAAACTAAAACTAGCATAAAATAAAGTATTTTCAACAGGTTTTTGACATTTTAAGATTATGCAGGTGTTAATTGTAAAATATTTTGGCATAGTTTTCAAAGAAAATGTTTTAGTGGAGTAATAATGATCAGAGCATCTCAACTTTTATTGTGCTGTAACAAAAAAAAACAAGCAAAATGTTTTTTTTTCCTTTTTATATATAAAGGATAAGTTTAGAAACTTGCTTTCATGGAGCTGATTGGCAGTGCACAGCAACAGGTGGAGTCATGTATGTGGACTTAACTTAGACTTAGACTCGACTTTATTTACCTTTGGGATTACTCCCTCAGGGAAATTCTGGTTCCAGTTGCTAAGTACAAAGAGTTGAAAGATGCCATTAAAGATAAAAATATGACAGACCATATCAAAAGAGTGTATATAAGTACCAAAAAAGCATAAAAGAAAAAAGTTGTAATGTCCTGGAATATGTTTCCCTTAGATATAAAAATATCTGAGAGCTAAGGAAAGACTACACAGTAGTTGACTTGGATTATTGCACTTATACTAGAGAGATTTACTGACCTCCTAAACAAGTAAAAAAATACACAGGCTACACAGTAGTTAGCATATGTTATTGCACTGTGAGAGAGTAGAATATTGCACATGAATGACAACAGGTAATGTTTTGCATAAGATGCCCAAGGAGGGGGGTGCTGACCCTTGTCCCTCTTCCGATCACCTCTTCCTTCCCCCAAGTGAGGAGTTGTACAGCTCAATGGATTGAGGAACAAAGGAGTTCAGCAGTCTGTTGGTCCTACATTTGGGGAGGAGCCATTTCTCACTTATCAGGCTCCTCTGAGTGGTAAAGATTGTTCATAATGTCCAGCAGTTTGTTAGATGTCCTTGTCTCTACCACCGTCCCCAGAGGGTCCAGCTTCTTGCCAATTACAGAGCAGCTCGCCTCACCGGTTTGTCCAGTCTGGAGGTGTACAAACCGGTCAGGCGAGCTGCTCTGTGATTGGCTAGAAGAGTATATGTAGAGAAATCTTATTTCACACAACTTTTTCTCTTCATTTTGCATGAAACAGTTAGCCGTTCTGAAGCTGTAAATATGTAGAACCTCTGTCTGATGAATGAACAGGTTATGCCGCCTCAAACGTGCTCTTGTTGAACTTTAAACCCTTTGCTGTACTTCTCTTTGTTGCACACCAGCCATTAGCTATCCCGATAAGATCAGGTATTGAGCAAGTCTGGGGTTTCTAAATGTAACTCTGCCTTTCTTCCTGCTTCCAGGTGGCTGGTGATCGCAGTGGGTCTGGTTCGAGCTTACCTGGCCAGAGGAAGCTACCATGGGCTCTATTACTCTATAGAAAAGCCGCTGAAGTTCTTTCAGACGGGGGCTCTTCTAGAGGTTAGATACACACTAAGAAATAACCAGTGCTGGCTTTCATCAGTGATGATCTCACCGTTCACCTGTATCTGTACGCCGTTTCTGGGATATAAATAGTTATGTTTAGGATGCAACACTTGTTTGTTTCTTTAGTCAAATAGTTTCATTTGTTAAAAAACGGCACCAGGACAACAGAGGCGTGTCCAGCCAAAGCCTTGCTTTCTCTTATCTTTGAAGAGTTGTTGGGTATAAACCTGATAACCTAGCATTGCCTGACAATTCTGACTTAAAGACACAGAAATAACAGTTTGATGCTTTATATATTTATATTAAACTACTGTGATCATGTCCAGATCTGCTGTAAATAAGGGATTTCACTGGAGAATTAACGTTTAACAAATCATTTAATTTTGAAAATCTACAATATACACTACTTAGAAAATAAAATGAGGTATTCAGCAGATCTTAATTATTACGTTGTGTATATATTATTATTACGTTGTGTATGTATTAAATTTACTGGTACATCTTCAGAGCACTGATGGTAATAAAGACTCAGCAGTGTTAGTTTGCTTTAATATAAAAGAAATGGAAAATCTATGAATGACTTTTTACAGATGTTTTGTAACTTTGTGCTGCTAAGGTTGAATTCAGAATCAACTGATGTTGTGTTTTAGCTCTAGATTCATGTTTAGTAATGTTTTCTCTTCTTATTTCACAGATCTTGCACTGTGCTGTAGGTGAGTGTCTGTACAGTTCCCCTCCTCACTGCCACATCTTCCTGTGAACATATTGTGCTTAGTAGAAGTTGTTAGGGTCATCAAAGCAGCTAAGCTTCGGTATTAGAATACAATAATATGATCAAACTATGAGCTCAGAATAGTTTAACAGATGTTTGAGTTCTTTCTTTTAATAATATGTTTCCTCTTGTGGCTCAGCTGCCGATAACCTGTCATTAAAATCTACTTACTCGCTTTTTGGCTTAAGTATCCTATCAGATTTGCCCTTTTTTGCTGTGGAGCAAATTCATCCTAAGTTGGCCTTAATTTCAGGGATCGTACCATCCTCTGTGGTCCTGACGGGGTTCCAGGTCATGTCTCGGGTCTTTCTCACTTGGGCCGTCACTCACAGTGTCAGAGAGGTACAGAGTTTATTTACAGTTTTTCACTGTCATTTTTTTTTTTATTTCATCATATGTTTAACATGGCTTCAAACATTTATGTACCTAAGTGACCAGATGATTCGCTCTTTGCCCCGTTTCATAGATCGGAGGAGATTATATGTGTGAGTAAATGCAGAAGGTCTTGCTGCAGGGTTTCAGGAATGAATATGAAAAAACTTTAATTGATACCTCTGATATTTTAGTTTCTAAGAGTAACTGTACTGACATTTTTCTGAAGCTGTGGTCTTTCTATTTAATGTAAATGCCTGTCAGCTGAACATATCTGTGTGCTTATCTTTCTAACAATATATTTTCTTTGGTTTTAACCTACTATTTAAAGAACGTGTACATGAGCCTGCAGTGTGATTTCATCTTAAAGTATCGGAAAGAAAAGCATGATCATTAGTTGATGAAGTTGTTGGGCTTTTTCCGCAGTCTAAAGCATGATGCAAGCCCATCTTTTTCCTTGTCCGCTCTCCATCCATCCATCCATCCATCCATCCATCCATCCATCCATCCATCCATCCATCCATCC